CATTTTTACGAAGCTATTTTCTACGTACCATACAAACAAATAAAAAAAATGAGTTAGTAGCAAAAATTTAGTTTCGCTGGCATTTCACCGTCTGAAGTAAATCAGTAATAAACATCTAATAAATCAAAAACTAGAAGAATTCGTTTTAACCAGCGCGAACCAGTTAAATTCAAAAACAACTACTTTACATATAGATACTACAAGGGTAATAGTTTGTTGCTGTTTGGTAAGGCGATTAGATGTTCTCATAATCTGGTAAATACCGGTTCGTGGAAATTGCGGAATAAAAAAAAATTTTAACCTCACTAAATTGATAATAATAAAATTTTCTTTTTAGATTTGGTCGCTTCGAAAGGGAGGATGCCCGAACCGGAAGCGAAGAGGATCTTTTCGCAAATCGTTTCCGCCTTATCCTACTGTCATCTGCAGGGCGTTGTTCACCGCGATTTAAAAGCGGAAAATTTGCTTTTAGATCATAACATGAATATAAAAATTGCCGATTTTGGTTTTAGCAACCAATTCACTGATGGGTGCTTACTTTCCACATTTTGTGGATCTCCACCGTACGCCGCACCAGAATTATTCCAAGGATTAAATTATGATGGTCCAAAAGCGGATATTTGGGTAAATATTTGTTTTTATAATAATTTATTATTTTTATTAAAAATAAAAAGTGGCGCCATCTATGATTCAATAGCTTAATTATATTACATAACCTAATTATATTACATTTTTAATTTAAATTTGTTTAATTTTTTTAGAGCCTTGGCGTTGTCCTCTACGTTATAGTTTGTGGCTCACTCCCTTTCGATGGAAGAACATTACAAGCGTTAAAAAACGTCGTTATTGAAGGAAAATTCCGAATACCTTACTTCATGACTGAAGGTAACCTAAAAAAAAATCTATTAAATTTAAACCAAACTCACCCAAATAATATCTTTTTAGAATGCGAACATTTAATTCGTCACATGTTAGTGGTCGACCCCGAAAAGCGATTAACAATATCCCAAATCGAAAAGCACCCTTGGTTAATGGACTCCCCGATCGTTGACACTGGCCCCGAATGGGAAGCGCAACAACAAATCAACCTAACCGTAATCGATCATATGATGCAATTACCCGGATTATCCCAAGGAATGATTTTATCATCGCTTCGAGCGAACTCTTTCGATCATATTTACGCTATTTATAATTTATTGGTAGATAAATTGCATCAACGGACGATTAAGTTTCAAAAAAATTCTCAACCGCATCAAAAATTGTTAAACGCGAATAACAAAATTAACGAACGGAGTGAGTCGTTTAACGAGGAATTAGTAACGAATTTAATCGGTGAGATAAATAGTAAATCTAGTGAGATTTCGCGGTTTTCCGATCACCAACAGAATCAGCAACAACCGTTGAATTATCGTCGAGAGAGTTTTAACGAAAATTGTTTACGCTCGGTTCGCGATGAAGTTAAGGAACGTAGGAAGTCGTTGAATGAGCCCCCGGATGAAGTGGGGAGTCCCTTCGTGTCGATGCCCGCCGTGTACTTCGTGGGGGAAAACCAAGAAAATCAACCTTTAGAGAAATTCGGCGAGATGGATTTAGATCAACCCGATGAATCTCATTCGTTAACCGTGCCAACGACGGGGTATGGAAGCTTCTTATCAGGTTCTGGAGATCGATATTTAACAGTGAGGAGACACACAGTTGGTCCTGGAGATACCGCGCATGAACAGGTGTTGGAAAATCATTATTTAGTGACACCTCAAGATGTGGGGGTAACTGGAGGGAGGATTTTACCACACACTAATCTTCCATTGCATCTCCCCCTTTTGGGGCAACAAAATCCGCATTATTTTAGCGCGAAGGATCCGCATTTATTAAAACCACCGACGGTTATGAATGCTGCTGGAGGTTTTGGACGAAGAGCTTCAGGTAAATCATTAATTAAAAAGCGTAAAAGCTTTAAAACCGTCTCAGAATAGACAAGCTCAAACTATTAGTGCCTGTCTATTTTTATCACAGAACAGTGATAACAACTGGCATAAATTTAATCACAAATACTAGACTCAAAATGATGAGTAAATAATTTAGAGTTTTGATACTTTTAAATTGGTTTTTATTTTATATAGGATTTAAGTTTGACTAGTTTTCTTACCCATTGAAATCCATGAAATTAAAGACGAAATGACCCAAAAAACACATTAAAAATAAAAAGAAAGTGTGGAAAAGTGATTAACACTATATCCTTTCAAGTTCAAATTGGCATTGGGATTAATCAAATTCAAAATGGCATTAAACAAAACCAATTTGGCAACTGCCATAATCAAATTGGCATTAATCAAAATCAAAATGACATTAATCAACATTAAATTGGCATCTTTGATTCGTGATTAACCGTTTAAACGCATAATTTTATATTTGGTAATAAACAATATGTATAATATTTGTTAATTCAAAAGGTGACATTAATTTTTGGAATACTGTTCCTAATTATATTTTCTAATTTTCGAATTCTGTACTCTGAGACAAATTGCATTAGCGAAGTCCGCCTTTACACCAGCATTCAAAATTGACCAAGCGTGTTCACTTGGGTTTTTTAGCATTAGACTATAAGGACGTAGCCTTACAAGTTTTTGATGAAGAAATTCTTGTTCTTCAACACCATAATGACTAGGAGCATTATCAATGACTAAAACCACTGAACATTAGCTATCTTGAGTTCTCCTTAAGCATTGCCTAACAAACTCATTAGCCTCTTCTCTTTTAAAAGCTATTGATACATCCTATAAGATGAACATTTGCTGCATTAGCTTACATTAAGCTAAAACTCATTTCGTAATGTTTCTTGCAACTGGTTAAGTGTGATTTTAATATTTTCTTCAACTTTAAGTTCAAAGAAATACTAGTAATTTTTATTTTATGTTCCCCTTCTCTTGGTTTTTCTTCTTCTTCTTGATTTTTTACTCATCTCAACTATTCTTTTTACAACACCAAGAATTTAATGCAAACTAAATTGTACCAGACGCAATTCGTATTGTAAATGGCACAAATTTGTCGTTTCACGTTTGCTGTTTCCTTTTTCTTAATATTTGGCATTCTGTAGATATTAGTGATGTAAAAAAAGTAACAATTACGTTATACGTGTACTCGTTACTCCGCGAGATCCGAAGTAACTGTTACTGTATCACATCGGTACCAGTTACTTTGGATCTAACAGTTACTTTTTCCAAAGGCCAAGTATTGTTGGATAGGCGAAATCGACTTAAAAGTCGAAATGCGCAAACAAAATTTATTTTTACATTGCAATAATAAGCTGTAATATCTTTTATTGTTGTTTTAATATTTTTATTTTATTTTATTATTGCTTGTTTTATAGAAGAAGTTTTGTTTTCCATTGTTAATGTGTTACTACTTTCAAATATTTTTGTTATATAATAAGTGAAACGTAAGTTATTAATAATTAAATAATAATAATTAAGAAAAATTCTTCGTTATAATATGCAGTGAAAAAGTAAATCCCATAACCTACACTCTATTTTTTGATATTAGTGCACAGTGCATAATAGCGTAACAAACACAATATAATATACGTACAGTATTTGTTTTCAAAAATAAGTGTAATATAAAATAAATTCATATAAGTATGTAGTCCAACTAAAACGAGTAATCGAACCTCAAGCGCAAACGATTACTTATAACGAGTAACGAGTACAAAGTAACGAATACTTTTTCTGAAAGTAACGGATAGTTACAAATACTAAAAAGTAACTAAACTTTACATCACTAGTAGATATGTAGTTTGTTAACAGTGACAATTTGTAATTAATTAATGTTATTTTGATTTTGATTAATGCCAATTTGATTATGACAGTCGCCAAATTGGTTTTGATTAATGCAATTTTAAGTTTGATTAGTGCCAATTTGAACTTGACTTCTGTTATATGATAACTAACTTCAGGTTTAAAATGTCAACCTCAATTTTGACATATTTGTAATCTTCATTAAAAATCCTTTAAAATGAGTACAAACACGACATATTTATCTTCAATATTAATGAAGTTATGATCAACTTCCGGTTAAGAATGTCAACGTCAATTTTGACATATTTGTAATCGTCGTGAAAAATCCTTTAAAATGAGTCCAAACATGATACGTTTAATTCCAATATTACTCGAGATATAAGCAACTTCCGGTTTAAAATGTCAATGTCATTTTGATATATTCTTAATTTTTATAAAATGTGTTAAAATTTGTTACAAAAATGAAAATATAACACAAAATATAAAAAATTAAGGTTGGTATTAATATTTAAAAATTAAATTGATATATTTATTGTTTGCTAACTTCAGCTTTAATGTTTTTTATTTTAACTTTTTTGTTTTTTGAGATAAAATCATCATGTTTGGACTCATTTTAAAGGTTTTTTTAATAAAGAATGCATCATGAAAGAACACCATGAAGTTGTTCATTTATTATATGGTAACAAACTTCAGATTTAAAATGTTAACCTCAATTTTGACATATTTGTAATTTTCATTAAAAATCCTTTAAAATGAGTACAAACACGACATATTTATCTTCAATATTAATGAAGTTATGATCAACTTCCGGTTTTCGAACGTTAATTTTGACATATTTGTAATCTTCATTAAAAATCCTTTAAAATGAGTACAAACACGACATATTTATCTTCAATATTAATGAAGTTATGATCAACTTCCGGTTAAGAATGTCAACGTCAATTTTGACATATTTGTAATCGTCGTGAAAAATCCTTTTAAATGAGTCCAAACATGATACGTTTAATTCCAATATTACTCGAGATTTAAGCAACTTCCGGTTTGAAATGTCAATGTCATTTTGACATATTCTTAATTTTTATAAAATGTCTTAATATTTGTCAGAAAAACAAAAATATAATAAAAAAAAAATAAAATTTAAGGTTGGTATTAACATTTAAAAATTAAATTGCTATCTTCATTGTTGCCAACTTCGGGTTTAATATTTTTTATTCTAACTTTTTTATTTTTTGAGATAAATGCATCATGTTTGGACTCATTTTATAGGTTTTTTAATGAAGATGACAAATATGTCAAAATTGAAGTTGACATTTTAAACCTGAAGTTAATAATATTATAAAATGTGTTAAAATTTGTAAAAAAAAAATCAAAAATTAAGGTTGGTATTAATATTTAAAAATTAAATTGTCTATTATATGATAACTAACTTCAGGTTTAAAATGTCAACCTTAATTTTGACATATTTGTAATCTTCATTAAAAAACCTATAAAATGAGTACAAACACGACATATTTAACTTTAATATTAATGAAGTTATGGTCAACTTCCGGTTAAGAATGTCAACGTCAATTTTGACATGTTTGTAATCGTCGTGAAAAATCCTTTAAAATGAGTCCAAACATCATACGTTTAATTCCAATATTACTCGAGATATAAGCAACTTCCGGTTTGAAATGTCAATGTCATTTTGACATATTCTTAATTTTTATAAAATGTCTTAATATTTGTCACAGAAACAAAAATGTAATAAAAAAAAATCAAAAATTAAGGTTGGTATTAATATTTAAAAATTAAATTGCTATCTTCATTGTTGCTAACTTCGGGTTTAATGTTTTTTATTCTAACTTTTTTGTTTTTTGAGATAAGTGCGTCATGTTTGGACTCATTTTAAAGGTTTTTTTAATAAAGAATACATCATGAAAGAACACCATGAAGTTGTCCATTTGTCTATTATATGATAACTAACTTCAGGTTTAAAATGTCAACCTCAATTTTGACATATTTGTAATCTTCATTAAAAATCCTTTAAAATGAGTACAAACACGACATATTTATCTTCAATATTAATGAAGTTATGGTCAACTTCCGGTTAAGAATGTCAACGTCAATTTTGACATATTTGTAATCGTTGTGAAAAATCCTTTAAAATGAGTCCAAACATGATACGGTTAATTCCAATATTACTCGAGATATAGGCAACTTCCGGTTTGAAATGTCAATGTCATTTTGACATATTCTTAATTTTTATAAAATGTCTTAATATTTGTGAGAAAAACAAAAATGTAATAAAAAATAATCGAAAATTAAGGTTGGTATTAATATTTAAAAATCTTCATTGTTGCCAACTTCGGGTTTAATGTTTTTTTATTGTAACTTTTTTGTTTTTTGAGATAAATGCATCATGTTTGGACTCATTTTAAAGGGTTTTTAATGAAGATGACAAATATGTCAAAATTGACGTTGACGTTTCAAACCGGAAGTGATTGTATCTCCATTAATATTAAAGTTAAATATGTCGAGTTTGGACTCATTTTAAAGGATTATTTATGAAGTTGATAAATATGTCAAAATTAAAAGTCGAAAGTTCGAACTTTTTGGTTTTTTGAAATAAATACGTCATGTTTGGACTCACTTTAAAAGTTATTTTATGAAGATTACGAATATAATAAAATAAAAAGCGAATAACACGAAAACGGTGTGTCTAATCAAAATTTTTTAAGAGTGAAAATCATTTTATAATGAAATAGGCTTTGAGAATCAGTTGGAAAATTAAAGGGTTTACGACATAATAAAAAAGTTTTAAGGAAATAATCTTTGTGAACACCTGTATAGCATTGATCCCGAGGTTGCATATTTTCAAAAGTGATGTTAAACAATTTCTCATGATAACATTGCATTGTTTGCCAAATCTTATCTTTCTAAAACAAACCATATTGAAAATATTTAAGAAATTTTTTAAAAATTGCTTAACTTTGAAGGCCCATCTTGGTCATTTTCTTGGTTTAGACAAAAAAATTTTACACGAATCGTCATCATTTTGACTCTAGTATTTGTGATTAAAATTATGCCACGATTTACAGAAACACCTGTATAAAGGGAACGATCTTGCCTCAAACCGCCGAGGTCGCTTGCGGGCGAGGCGCTGAATATAATATACAGTGTGTCCCAGGATAAATGTTACAAGAAGTATAATAACTTAAAAATTTATGAATTTTATTTTAAGGCTAAGGAATTAAGCCCTGCTTGGTGTGAAGAGAATTTTAAGAATATTTTCATATTTTGAAAACCAAGGCGGCCTTGACAATGAATCGAAAATTATTTTTAGTTTAGGTAAAGTAATCTTTTTGTTCATGATACGGAAAAATTTTAAATTATGGTCCTATACAAAACTGCAGAAGGATCTATCTACTTTGGTTGAACCACCACATTTTAGTTTAAATAACATAAATATTGTATAGTAATTGAAATGTGAACTAAAACTGAGGGATACAATTACTTATACAATTTATAATTGTATAAGACAAGTAATACAATTTATAATGATAATACAATTTATTTGTCAATATTTGCGACTACTTAAGTCATTTTTTTTTTCTTCACTCTGACCTAATATAAAATATGGTAGTTTAATCAATCTTAGTAGATCTTTCTGATTTGCATAGTGCCATAATTTCTCATTCTGAACAACTTTTCTTAATAATATTTTAGATTACTTTACCTGAACTCAAAATAGTTTTCGCTTCACTATCAAGACCGAGTTGATTTTCAAAATATGAAAATATACTTAAAATTCTCTCCACACCAAGTAGGGCTTAATTACTCAGCCTTAAAATAAAATTCAAAAATTTTTAAGTCATACACCTCTTATATCTTAACATCTATCTTGGGACACACTGTATATTAATGCGAAGCCGTCAGCTTTAGATGATTCCTCCGCCTCGACGGTTTGAGGACAAAAGTCTTCTTATCAGAGAATTCTGATCATTAACGACGTATATAAAAGGACCGATCTTGTCTCAAACCGCCGAAGTCGCTTGCAGACGAGGCGCTAGGCAAAGTCGTCAGCTTTGGAAGATTCTTCGTAATACGATAAATCGTACATTGATTAACGCTTAGCTTTATCCAATTACTTTTAAAACATCAATATTAATAATACTTTCTTTTAATAGATGGCGGTGCTAATTTACACATGGCGTGGGGAACCCCCGGATCTCACGAACAACTCAGCGGGATGTCCACAAGTTCAAGCGGAAACCCTAGTTTAAGTAGTGGGGCCACCCAAACGATAAACGATCAACAACCCGCTTTATTAGACGAAGCTGTATCGCGTTACATGCAATCTCGAGGAAACGCTAAACGCCACACGATGGCTAATCCCGAAGACGTTCATAATCTGCAATCTTCCGGTGCGGGAGGAAGTGGTGGAGGTTCGGGGAGTCGGACGAGACGTACTGGGTTATTAACTGTTATGGAACGACCTCCAGGTACAATTTGATTCAAAATTTTTTTTTATTAAATGTTGGTTGCACCGTAGCTTTTTTTAACACGCTGATTTATTATTTTTTTTGGTGTTTTTTATTTTTGGTGTTTTTATTATTTACGCATGTTAGTAATCTCACCCGAGTTAATAAGAGAAGTCGAGGCCAGGATGAATCGTAATTATATGCCTCCGATGATGCCTCCGCACGTACGGAAACATTCCAGGCACGCTGTTAAACCCCATTTATTGCCCACTGTACAAGAATTACAAGGTTAGTATCTATTTTTTTATTCACAAACTTTGTAAAAAAGCTAAAAAATTAAACCTAACCTCAAATTTTTTGACGTTTATGTCAAAAATTAAAAATTAGGTGAGTTGTAAATTAGGAGATTTGAATTAAATTAAATTCTAACCTCAAATTTTTTGACGCAATATAGCGTTGTGTCAAAAAAATACAAAAATTACGTTTTATTTAGTACATGTTTAAACTAAACAATGTATAAAATTAAAATTTTATTTAAGTTGTCCATTTTGACGTTTGTCGGTAAGAATATTTTTATAATTTGAAAAAGAACGCTCCACGTCACACGATGTAATTTGAAGTATACTTCAGGAAGCTATATCTGGATTCATATCATTAACGTCTTCATCTTCTCCTCTCAAAACTCCACAAATCCTTTTCATTTTGTTATTTCTAGTTTTGCACTATCACTAGAACTAATACAAGACCTAGAACTAAAATCATTCGGGTTTAGCCGTCCTGAGAGACGTGCGGCTAAACCTAAATGATTCTAGTTCTAGGTATAGTGTTATTCTGGTTTCAATTCAATAAAAATGTGCAATATAGATGATACCTTACAATAATTTTATTATTACTTCTTAGAAAATTAGTGATTTTTAATTTGGATCAAATTTGGGTTGTCACCACTTCCTTTCATTTCGATTTATTTGACAGAAACTGTTTCTCTTCGCGTTTTAATTAATCTTTTATCATTTTTTTAATTAATTGAGTGTTTTATTGTGCTTATTCATCAAGAATCGATTTTCTTTTTACTCATTCCTTGGTAAGTAGTTAGTTTTTAGCCACTCAAAATTCTTTTTTAAAGTAATCTTTCTTTTAATTAAACTTGAGTTGAGATTAAAAATGATTCTCAAGGTTTTTAGAGATTTCCCCAATTTTTTAACTTAGTAACAATTTTAATTTTAAATCAATAATTTTATTATTAATATTTCTTAGAAAATTAGTTACTTTTTATTTTAGATATAATTAGGGTTGGCACCCCTTCCTGTCATTTCGATTTATTTGACAGAAACGGTTTCTCTTCGCGTTTTAATTAATTTTTATAACAATTAAGTGTTTAATTGAGCTTATTCATCAAGAATCGATTCTTTTTTAGTCGCTCCTTCGTAAGTAGTTAGTTTTTATCGATTGAAAATTCTTTTTTGAAGTAATCTACGTTTTAATTAACCTTGGGTTGATTTTAAAAATGATTATCAAGAATTTCGGGTTTATTATTGTAGAGATTGATTTATTATTGTAATCATGCAAAAATTCGATCTAAACATAATTTTATGTACGCGTTTTGAGGTTCCTTGTGTCCTAAGTTCATATCGATTATTATCAGACTTCTATAACAGTATCTAGTCTTCTACCAGAAGTGTTTGACGTTTTATTATAAATATCTGGTTCTCTAGCAATTGTATTTACATTTTTGCCAACAATGTTTGGCTTCTGCCAACTTTATCTAGTCTACTATTAAGAAACTCTAGTCCTGTGCAAGCAGTATTTAGTGTTTTTCCAACTGGGTTTTCCATTAGGAGTGTTTTGTAAGCAATATTTAATGCTCTACTATCTAATCTTGTCTAATCTTTTTTTAGCACTCTCCCATCAACATCAAATCTTTTCCTCATAATATCTAGTTTTTTATGATCAGTACATAACACCTATTCTAGTTGTGTTTTATTCAGTATCTATGTATTGTATTTCCACATCTAAAAAATTAATGCTCTGATATCAGTATACAACCTCTACAAGTATTCTTCAGTCCGTTTTCTACAGTATTAATTCTTCTGCCAACAGAATTTAGTCTTCTATTAACTGTCTCAGGTGATTTGCTAGCAATATGTAGATTTTTATTAATAGTATTTAGTCTTGCAAGCAGAATTTAATCTACTATTAACATTTCTCTTCTCACGGCAGTGTCCAAGCTTGTATTAGCAAAATCTAGGTTATGCCAGAATATCAAACCTATATTAATAATATTTAAGCTTCCGACAGCAGTTTGCAATGTTTTCTGCTCTCAGTATTTAGGCTTCTGTTATCAATATTTAGTCTTCTGACATTTTTTATTTAATTTTTGTTTTTGTGACAAATTTTAAGACTTTTTACAAAAATTAAGAATATGTCAAAATGACGTTGACATTCTTAACCGGAAGTTGACCATAACTTCATTAATATTGAAGATAAATATGTCGTGTTTGTACTCATTTTAAAGGGTTTTTAATGAAGATTACAAATATGTCAAAATTGAGGTTGACATTTTAAACCTGAAGTTAGTTCTCATATAATAGACGAATAATAAGAACTAGAATCATTCGGGTTTAGCCGTCTTGAGAGACTTGCGGCTAAATCCGAATGATTCTAGTTCTTATTATTCGTCTATTTTATGCATTTCTGCTCTATTTGGGCATGGTCTGGTGGGAATGCTCTCCAATGTACATTTATACTGTAACTTTTTTTTCTAACTGCTTTCTCTGCCATTCCATTACTTCTCGGATACCTCGGACTCGTATTAATTATTTTAAAGTTCCATTGTTTAGAAATTTTTTCAAATATTCTGAACCAAATGGTACAATGTCAGCTATTATTACCTTTGGGATACCATGGCTTGAAAATACAATTAATTTTGAAAATTTTAATGCATTTAGACAAATAACCTATTACAACTAGATAATCTTTTCCACTATATGTCCATTCCTATCTTTTGAAATGGTCTCTTTGGTATTTTATGAGGCATCAATGGTTGTGTTGCTCTGTGTTTTAAAGGTAGTGTCAATGATACAGCCACAACTGCCAGATGAAGCCTATTTTATTGTGTAGAAGGTTCCAATACATATTTAATAACTAATTTTTTTGTGCTTTTTTTAGGTCGAGAACAAAAATCGTCGGAACGTTTTAGCCCCGTTCGAAGAGGAAGTGAAGGTTCAAACAGTGGGAATCGCACTCACAGCCCTTCGACGCCCCAACAAGAATGTCAACGTCTCCAACGTGGTTTAGCACCCCGCGCGAGCCCCCCCAGATCAATCCCCGGCTCTCCAATTCATCAAATGTCGTCATCATCATCATCGAGCGACCGCCATCCAATTAGTAACGAATCAACATCTCCAATTCACCAAATTTATTCGAATTACCAAGAAACCCCATCCCACGATTACCACCGTTACGTCACCGGTCGAGATCATAATTTCAAACTATCAGAATCGACTTTAATCCCCCCAGAAACGTTTCAAAGCACCCCTTATTTCGATATGAATATGAAAGGATTTAATTCAGGGACGATTTCTCCGTACGGCGGTGGAGGAGGGGGGAGTTCGAGTGGGTTGGGGTCCCCGATTCACCACCAAAATTTATTTCCTATTCACGGAATTAATTTTTCGCAAGCATCGGGGTCATCTCCGATTTTAAAACCATTATTAAGTCCAAATTCGTCCCCTTCCTTTGGATTTTCTTCAAATCACCAAACTCCGTCGAGTGTCTCGTCGATTACTCAAGGAATTTCCGGTTTAAACACAACCTGTGGAGCGGGGTGTGGCGGTGGAGTTGGTTCGATAACCCAAGGGACTCCGACGACTTCAAATTTACAATTGGAGTTGCGGAATCAAATTTGTTGTGATGATAAGATTGAGAATGTTGTGTATGGAGGGGCGGGGTATCAAGGGAACTTTTTGCATCAAAACGTTCCGCATCATATGCACCATATTTATAATCATCGGAGTTTAACGAATTCGCCGATTAGTAATCCGGGGAGTCCCGGGTTAGATATGATTCAAGAGGAAGTCCCCGGGAATGTTGGAAGCGGGAATGGAAGCGTTGTTTTGGTGAGATCGGATCAAAACTCCGTGTGTCACCCCCAAATTTCGGTCACCGACGAAGATGGTGAGTAATAAAACAAAAGAAAATGATTAATTTTAATTTTTTTTTGTTTTAAAGGAAGTAAAGTAACTTTAGTGGCCGGATCTGATACATCAGAAGATTCCATGGATAGTTTGGAGAATCAGAGGGTCTCAAAAATACCTTCTTTTTTAATTTCGGAACCATCCGAGAATCTCCCATCAATAACAAAAGGAATTGGGCGTAAAATAAGCTCGGAAAACGACGATCAAAAATATCACAGAAGAAATTCTGATAAAACTTCGATTTATTCAGATGATTCTTTATCAAACGATAGTTTTAGTGTTGGTAATCAAAGCCCGAATTCATCAAATCAAAATGATACTTTTCAAGAAGGATATCAAGATCAAGAAGAAGAAATATCTGAGGCGAGTTTTCAAATTTTTGGGAATTTAACTTTTGATGATTCAACGTCGAAATCGGGGTCTTTCGAGTTACCTTTACCGGAAGTTTGTTCGAATCTAGAAACGAGTGATATTTTGGAATTAGTTAAAAGAACGATTACGGATCAGATCCCCCCGAAAATGTGCGCTTCGCATTCGGACGAAGATTTCTCTGAGAAATTATCGTTGGAGTACGAAGGTGGGATTCAAATCGAATTGAAAGTTATCGATCGGCAGAAAGCGTCGAAGGGGATTAAAATGAGGAGGATTTCCGGTGATCATTTGGTTTATAACCAATTGTGTCAACAGTTGATTTCGTGTATGACGGTTTCGTAGCATTTTTAATTACTTTTTTTTATAGATCTCAAATCTTAAGATTCTAAGATACTTTTAATTCCATGATTTTACATTCCAAGCTAAATTTTAAATTAAAATTTTCTTTTTTTTTTTAATTGTAAATATGTGTGTAAATAAGGACGATTTAAAAGAAAAAGGAAAATATTGAAAGACTTTTCGCACAAGAACATAACCTTATTCATTCTTTTTTTTTGTAGGTTATATTTTTGTATAAAAAAGTAAGGTTACATTCCGATAGTTTTAATGAAAGTAAAAAAAATTAAAGTAGTAGGAGGTTGTATCATATTGATTAATAAAAAAATATTAATTAAATTAATGATAAGGAGAATAAATAAATAAACTAGTATTTTTTTCGTCAATTTCGAATCTGTGATGTGTATAAAAAAATAATAAATTAAAAAAAATTAACTACTTTTTATTTTTCAGTTAAATGAAGAGTTATCCCGAGTAAGAATCGTCTAAATCCTTGAATCCTATTATCCCTGAAAATATGAATAAACTATAAACGACATGGTGAGTATTTTATTAATATTTATAATTAAAATAATTTTATAAACAATTAGAAGGTAGGCAACCAATTTGACATAACCTCAAAATTTGACAACTGTCATTTACGATTTTAATTTTTTCGTTCCATTTCGATCATTTTACAATAACAATAAAGGTAAAGCTCCAATTCATCACTAAAATTGAGACTTATTTGATGTTTTTTTTGTATAAAAAGTAAGGTTACATTCCCAGAGTTTAAATGAAAGTAAAAAAAATTAAAATAATAGAAGGTTGTATCATATGGATTAATAAAAAAATATTAATTAAATTAATGATAAGGAGAATAAATAAATAAACTAGTTTTTTTTTCGCCAATTTCGAATTTGTGATGAGTATAAAAAAATAATAAATTAAAAAAAATTAACTCCTTTTTATTTTTCAGTTAAATGAAGAGGTATCCTGAGTAAGAATCGTCTAAGTCCTTGAATCCTATTATCCCTGAAAATATGAATAAACTATAAACGACATGGTGAGTATTTTATAAATATTTATAATTAAAATGATTTTATAAACAATTAAAAGGTAGGCAACCAATTTGACATAACCTCAAAATTTGACATCAGTCGTTTATGTTTTTAATTTTTCCTTCCAATTCGATGATTTTACAATAACAATAATGGTAAAACTCCAATTCATCAATAAAATTGAGACTTATTTGATGCTTTTTTGTGTAAAAAAGAAAGGTTTCATTCCCATAATTTTAATGAAAGTAAAAAAAATATTAAAGTAGTAAGAGGTTGTATCATATTAATTAATAAAATAATATTGATTAAATTAATGATAAGGAGAATAAATAAACTAGTATTTGTTTCGTCAATTTCGAATCTGTGATGTGTATAAAAAAATAATAAATTAAAAAAAATTAACTACTTTTTATTTTTCAGTTAAATGAAGAGGTATCCTGAGTAAGAATCGTCTAAATCCTGGAATCCTATTATCCCTGAAAATATGAATAAATTATAAACGACATGGTGAGTATTTTATTAATATTTATAATTAAAATAAATTTATAAACAATTAGAAGGTAGGCAACCAATTTGACATAACCTCAAAATATGACAACTGTCATTTATGATTTTAATTTTTTCCTTCCATTTCGATCATTTTACAATAACAATAATGGTAAAGCTCCAATTCATCACTAAAATTGAGACTTATTTGATGCTTTTTTTTGTATAAAAAAGTAAGGTTACATTCCCATAGTTTGAATGAAAGTAAAAAAAAATTAAAGTAATAGAAGGTTGTATCATGTTGATTAATAAAAAAATATTAATTAAATTAATGATAAGGAGAATAAATAAATAAACTAGTATTTTTTTCGTCAATTTCGAATCTGTGATGTGTATAAAAAAATAATAAATTAAAAAAAATTAACTACTTTTTATTTTTCAGTTAAATGAAGAGTTATCCCGAGTAAGAATCGTCTAAATCCTTGAATCCTATTATCCCTGAAAATATGAATAAACTATAAACGACATGGTGAGTATTTTATTAATATTTATAATTAAAATGATTTTATAAACAATTAAAAGGTAGGCAACCAATTTGACATAACCTCAAAATTTGACAACTGTCATTTTGTATTTTTAATTTTTTCGTTCCATTTCAATCATTTTACAATAACAATAGTGGTAAAGCTTCCAAATCATTACTAAAATCGAGATTTACTTGATCTTTTGATATATTTTGCAGCAGATACACTTTTATGATTCAATTCTTTTAATTTGATCATATTCATTTAATTTCTTTGATATATTTTGTAGCAGATACACTTTTCCCATGATATTCTCTGAGATAGCATATCATTGTATCTTAAAACTTTAAAACATAATCCAGAATGTTATTTTTCTCATTTCGTGACTAAAAACAAATTCTACATAATTTTGGGGTTAAAACAGTAATCAAGTCCAATTGATTCTTTGAATTCAATCATATTCTTTTATGGATTGATTCCCAAAGTAAGTTTCAAACCAATTTTTAAAGCGCAAACCATATTATCCGTATTGGTATTCCAATTATTAAAGCATTTATGTTATTATATTGGTAAAGTTCAATTTCTCTATAAAAAATGATACGGTGAATTAATTGCTTTATAAATCGACTTTGAATTGAGTCCATTACATTAAAAAGTTGTTAATTAATGACTAAATTAATGTTATTAATTGAAATAAATTTTTGAGGTTATGTATTGATTTGACAGATTTCTGTTTTATCTTTTATAAAGTTATTTTTTTTTTTATTACAAAAATTAAGGTTAGTTTTCTTTTTTAATTAAAATTGTTAATTGAGTTAATTTTGATGCATTTTATTTAATTAAAACTAAAATATTAGTTAAATTCCAAAAAATAAATGCGTAGTTTGAAGCGCCATCTAACATTTTTATAATGAACGTTGTCAAGTTTGTTTATCAAAACTTGTCAACAAAAATCATCTTATTTAATTAATATAATTTAAGCTTTTAATTAATGCTTATTTTTATCTTATAGTGTCGATTTCTTTAAAGAGGAAGTGAGATTTTCTTTCAAAAATAAAATCGCTCTGAAATAATCGGAACGTAGCCGAATTAGTGGGCAAATTCAAAAAAGGTTAGTTATTTTGATTAATAAAATTAAGATTAATAATCATTAATAATTAGTTACTTAATTAATTTTACTTTAATTTTCTCTAAATTGAATTTGAATTAAAGTGGGGTAGGGGGCGCTTTTCATCATTTTACGTCAAACGTTTAAGAAAAACCTTTCTGTAAAAGCGTTTCATAAAAAAAAACAGTTTTTAAGTGGAAAATGGGATTAATTTGAGTTCAAAGTGATCAAAACTCGGTTATTAATTATTAACATTCGTGGATTAAGGGATAATTAAAAAGAAATTGAGGTTAGTTATTTTTTTGAAGCGCCATCTAGCAATTTTAAAGTTAATCAAAAGTCAACAAAATTTTTTTTATTTAAATAGAAACTTACAATAAACTCAAAATAAAGAGATTTCAACATTTCCATTTTCCTCAAATAACACAAAAAAAGCTTTTTATTCATTTTTTTTTGCAAATTTTAATTACAGGACAACTGATGTCTTAATAACTGAGAAGCCGGAAACATATCCGAACAAAATTCGCATGGTAATTCAACTTCCGGCGATTGCGGCGTTTCATCTTGGGTCCTATAAAAATAATCATCATCGCTCGGAGATGGAGATCGCCTCTTTGGATTAAATCGTGCCAAATCCGGTCTACAACCAGTTTCGTGTTGGATTAAATCTTCGTGCGGGATCGGAGTGTTGCAGAATTCGCACGGGATGGTTAATTCGGTTGGTGGATTTGGTTTTCGAAGAGCTGAGGTTGGCGGTTGTGGAGCTTGCCCTAAAAAATTCAAATTCAAATTAACGGTAAGTTTATTCCTAAATTTTTTATCATTAATTATTAGGGTCAAAATTAAACGTCAAACTTTGTTAGTTAAGGTTAATTTAAACAAAAAATTTTTTTTTTGGTTAAAATTTTAATTAACCTTTTGAGTGATTAAAATGATTTCGAGGAGCTGTTCCGCTTCTACGTAACGGAACGGTGATGCTCGCAGTGTCGTGTAGCAAGTTACGTATGTATTCCGTTTTACCTGAACAAAATCGTTCAAAAAATGATTTTATTATTAAGATAAGAAAAGGTAAAAACTTACAATCGAGGCGTCTTGATATATCTTTGTAACTTTCCCTCTTCTCGTCTGATTGCAAGTTGTAATCGTTGCTGTAGGATCGATAGAGTGGGGAAAAATCTATGCTGTTTACGGTGTAAATCGGAGGGGGTTGTTCACGGCGTTGTTCACTTCTTTGAGTGCTCGAGTCCCAACTAGCTGTTGGACCTGGTTCTAATTTGATTCAAATAATTAGTTGTATCAAAAAAAAAATTTTTCTTGTAATTATTTATGCTCAGAGAGTTTGTTAAAACTTGTACAAGAGAATCTTTTATGTTATTTTGTCAAAAAGCATCAGAAAACTTCTGTCAATATGTCAATATAATTTAACATTATATTCGTAATCTTCATAAAAAATCCTTTAAAATGAGTCCAAACTCGACATACTTAACTTTAATATTAATGGAGATACAATCACTTCCGGTTTGAAACGTCAACGTCAATTTTGACATATTTGTCATCCTCATTAAAAGACCTTTAAAATGAGTCCAAAGATGACACACTTATCTTAAAAAGCAAAAAAGTTTGAACAAAAAAACGTCAAACCCGAAGTTAGCAACAATGAAGATAGCAATTTAATTTTTTAATAATTAGCGCCATCTATGAGGCGGATGGCAAAGCTTTGTTTTATTGATTTATATAGATTTCTTTACGAATTCCCAATATTTTGATGAAATCGCACATTTTTCGTTTTACCCAAATTTCGAGATAATAACAATTCAATTTTACATCTACTTACACGTAACCTCTTCCTACATTCTACTAGTATCCTTGAAGCGTTGGCATCTCAATTTAATGTTTAATTTCTCGTAAAAGTAGCTTTACATCAAGTGTTATTTATGACAAACTTTAGGATTTTTTTTATGTTACAAATACAGCAATTTTACAACGCGGAACACTTCAATGTGTAGAAAAATGTGTGTACTTCAATTCTGTGTATTCACTTTTCCATAATAATTTGCCATTAAGTTGTATTTTGGGTAAAAAGTAACCTCTA